AGTACTGCGGTGTGGTTTGGCATTCAAGTTATCTGGAAGATTTAAGAAATACATTGAATATCGTACAAGAACATTGCTGATTCCAGTGAAGCAGCTTTTACTGTATTATGAGTAACACGGACAAAAACAGGCCAAAAGGAGAGCACCATTTAGTTTGCCTTTAAACAGACTGGAAGAACACCACAATTCAGAACCTAATAATACACCAACAGGCCCTTGTTTGACACAACTAGTAACCAGGCTTGCACTTATCAAATCTAAATGCTCAGTATTAAGAAACTGTTAGCCCAAACGGGGAGTTGCCAGAGCTAGGGGAGGGGGATTTTTACCTTTATTTGTGGGATAGCTGTAATTCACACCAGTCAGCATGATAAGAAGCCACACCCTATTGAAAAACAGATGATTACATCCACAGCCCCTCAACAGAAACTACCCAGTACAGTAACCCACTCCTTACCCCGAGGCCAAGGAGCCAGTCATCGTGTTGGAGGAGCTTTTGTACTACTGCTATTAAGGATGCTGTGAAAGGCTCATAAGCATTGCAAGTAAGCAGCACTGTCCAATCAGAACACAATGAGTCAATGATGCACAGCTGCTAGGCATTAATTGTGATTCTGTTGAAACTTTTGGTCCTTTCATTCATTTTCTGTGTACACTTCATCCTGTTTAGGGTATGATGGTGAATTAAGGGCAGTCCAAAGTGGAAGTGCCAGGCCTGTTTCCTTAAATCATGTTTGGTAAAGGGATAAAGTAGGTGCAATACATTATGCAGCTGTGTACCCACTAATGATTATGTTTTGCGCTTACTTTTTTCTTTATCATTTAAAAATTACAGCTTGACAATATGTTGAATCTAAATCTTCACAACTTCAATGTGTGCAATTTTACTGCTGCAGTGGACGTCTTGGTAGGCTATATTATTTTAAGTGCCATACAAAACTCTGCGTGCCGTTGAATGGTTGCTGTATGTTTTGATTTTGAAAATGCATACAATAAGATATTGAGGAATAGCACGGTGGCGCAGTTGGTAGTACTGTTGCCTTGCAGCAAGAAGGTCCTGGGTTCGATTCCCAGCTGGGGGTCTTTCTGCATGGAGTTTGCATGTTCTCCCCGTGCATGCGTGGGTTCTCACTGGGTACTCTGGCTTCCTCCCACAGTCCAAAGACATGCCTGTTAGGTTAATTGGTCTCTCTAAATTGCCCTTAGGTGTATGAATGAGTGTGTGCATGGTTGATTGTGTGTTGCTCTGCGATGGACTGGTGACCTGTCCAGGGTGTACCCCGCCTCTCGCCCATAGACTGCTGGAGATAGGCACCAGCTCCCCTGTGACCCACTATGGAATAAGCGATAGAAAATGAGTGAATGAGTTTTTATTATACAATAAGGAGGATTGGAGTTTACTAATTTTTATAAACAGAATAGGGAGTTTCTATCTCAAAGGCAAATTTAAGTAAAGACAGAAAAAATAATCGAATGAATAGTAAATGGAACACCACAGGGGAGTATAGTGAGACCTATACCATTTTCCTTTATGATATACAAGATTCACATCCCGTTTTGCAAACTTTAGAAGGATGTGAAAGGAATTTACTTTACAGTAAACAAAATACTAAACAAAACTACATTGTTACTTTACAATAGTTGTCAAATAGTGTTTGAAGCTTCCATTTCATAAACTAAAATTAAGACTTTCAGAGGAAAAAAAGTTGCTCATGCAAATATAATTTATATGGGCAGGGTCAAGAAAGAATTTGGAAAGCTGGTGAGAATACAGTCTGCCTGCTCATATTGAACAAATCCTAGAAAAATGTAAAATGTCTTGATCATGAGATGTCAAATTGGTAGAGAATGGGGAGGAGATAGAAATATACACAGGATTAATCAGATCAGTTATAGTTAATGGGGGTCTATTTTTTAAACTTAGCCATAGACCTATCTCTAGAAAAATGCATAAAAATGCATATTATCAGGTTTTATTACTTATTTTTGTTGCATTTAAAACCATTCCAACAGAATCATTGCAGGCAGAGATGCCCCTGAAACTCAGACAAGAGTTAACTTATTACTGTGAATCTTTTAGAAGGTCACAAGATCACCCAAGCCAGAATATCACCAAAACTTGCAGTGAAAAATAAAATCAGTCAAACAGTACCCCTATCAGTTATGCAGCAGAGGAAAATACCAGAAGGAATTATAGATCTAGAATTAAATGGAGACAAAACTTTAGTTTTTAGGGCAGATGCATTTACACAGCTGCATCAAGGCAAATAGTTGATCAGATTGGGGTACCTTTTTATGTTCTAGAGTTCAATATTAGAGTGACAAGTATAAATTGTGAAAACTCAGAACTCCACTGGATTAAATAATTCAGATTTTATGATCAAATATTTGTTCAGACAAGTTAATCACTCAATATAAATAACTGCCTCAGGAAAAATACATTCTAAATGAGAACCAGCAAACATAGGGTATAAACCTTTTTCTTATGAATTCCTGGACACTGGTACAAATAGAATTGAGCTGCAGGTATTACTGTAAAAGAAGAGAGCCAAAACAGAAATAAGGCAGAGTTTAAAGCAAAACAAACAAAAAAAAAGTAGGAAGGTTTCAATCCATTAGTTAGTAGCCATAATGGGTCATTTGTTTGCTTGCAAACCATTAAACCCCCCCCAAGATCTTGACAGAGGTGCTACAGTTCAAGTCGCTTTACTTCAATTGCCCTTGGCTGGAATCTGTATAAAGCTGATGAACTCAAGATAATGAAACTTTGTTTTTTGATTAATTTACTCTTGAACACCATTTTGTAGGCCAGATTTGCATTGAAGTTAAAATTGTAAATCTCCAAGCTGCCTTCATGTAGCCCTCAAGCCAATTCAGCACTAATCTTTTCTTACTGGTCTCATTTGCAGTCAATATCTACATAGGTGAGGTCTATCACCAAATTATGGCACAAGGAAATTCATGTTGCACAATATTTAAGTGTTGGCTTGGGCAAATACAAGATTTGTAGTGAACAGCACAGAGCCCAACAACAGCATGCATTCAGTATTCTTTAATCACATTTTATTGACCAATGAATCTGGAAGGCCAGACACTAAATTTGTGCAAGACAAAAAAACCCCATAGGTTCTGAAAGGTATGCCACTTTTTAGCACTTAACTGTAATACTACATAATGAGACATGAAAAGGCATCAGATTTTTTTTTATTGAAGCAATGACAAAGCCTGAAGCAGTCAACTGGTCTGAACAGAAACAGCCAAGCACTAGTTGAGGAAAAAAAATTAAAATCCTGGTTGTCAATCAAAAAAGCTACTCTACAATCTTTCAGCAGAGTAATGAGGGTACAACATCCACAAAAATACTGATATTAAGCAAATCTTGCAGGTTAGCACCATTATAGACTCAAAAAAAAATGTTGAATACCACAGCCAGCATTTCCAAAGAGCTGTGGCACAGGTTGAATAGGATGCTTTTTACCATTAGGGTAAAAACGTTTCTAGTTGCTTGTGACTAGACCTGTAAGGATGACCAATATGACGACTGTCCTGCCACTGGTTCTTCCGGTGCTCAAGTTGATTAGTAGAAAGTCTGTATGTGCCTGGAGGATACCTCCTACTCAGCAACATGTACTCCATAAGAGGATAGCCGAGCCGAAGTCTATCCACAAGTATGCCTAGTGCCAGTGGGCTACCAATAGCATGTTCATTTAGAGTGTGGACTGGAAAGTACTGGGCAGGAGCAGGAGGGCCTTCGTCCTCAGATTCAGAGTCGTATTCTCCTTGTTCATACGTTTTCTCCTCATAGGCAGCTTCACCTGGCTGGAATAATAGAGGAAAGAGGCCTGGAGAGCTCACATAGCTAGGACTTTCAGAGACAAATCTTGACTCCCCAGGAGAGGAACCTCTACCGGAGAAAGGAGTGGGAGGATCAACTGCCCACTGCACTACAAGTAAGAAGAACCAATTTAGTGTGCATTGGTAAAAGTAATACACAGAGAAAACATATTTAATAAGTCACCTACCTTGCTTTGGTGGGGATTGAAATTGAAGCTGTTTTGAGCCTTGATATACAGGTGCAGGATACACATTAGAGCCATAAAGAGCAGGAACTGGTCTTTTCGGAGCACTGGGATGAACATGTTGCTCAACTGGATGAAGTTGTACAACTGGGTTTGATGTAGTTGGGAAAGCAGACTCTGCATGGAGAAATCCAGGGGCAGGTTCCTCCCTGGTGGAACCAAAGGAAGGGTTTGTACTGGAAGCCCCAAGAGGGTCCAAGGCTGCACAGTGAGAGATTATTAGCTACTTTTTGCTGAATTGGCATAGTATTTGCAAGTGTGTCAAAAAATGGGTTAACCTTTCTCTGTGGGGTATCCATTAATTGCCCCATTCAGTATGACAAGTAGCCACAGCCTATTGAGAAACAGCAGAATAAAAGCTGTTTACACTTGTTTAAAAATCAGGAAAAATGGCCAAACCTACAAACCCGGTTCTTACCCTGAAGAGGCCACAGTAGCCATCATTTGATGAGTTGTTTTACTGCTTGAGTTACATAACTTTGCAAATGGTTGATTGCAGTTGAAAGGGACCTTCACTGGCCAATCACAGCATCACAAGTTGACAGTACACAGCTGGTAGTCATTAATCCTGATGAAGGTGAAAGCTCAGCATGAAATGAAAACCCAGATTTGGACTGGTTGCTTGTTTTATGTAAATTAGATAGTTTTCCAGTTTAATTTCTTTAAATGGTGGAAAAATGCAAACTTGGTGTTTAAAAGTATATTCTTATATGCTGAACTGCTTCTTAAAACATATCAATTATCATAGACACACATTTCCCCTCTTACTCATCTGCACAGGAACAAATGTAGCTTCAAATTGAACCAAAGTGTTATTTTTTGAAACCTTTATCAAGGTTGGGGGGGGGTTACCAGGAGTGTTGACCACACTTTTTGAGGCTTTTCAAGATTTGGTTTAACAATGACTTTCATCATGACACAGTGCTGGTGGTGTAGGGGTTAAGCACGCGATACATATATAGGGGCTACAGTCCTCGAAGTGGTCCTGTCTTGGGTTCGAGTCCCAGACCCGGAGACCTCTGATGAATGTCTGCCTACTGTCAGAAAAATTTAAAAACAAAGGCCTCTAATGCTGAGAAAAACAAATATTGAATTTAATCAAAAACTTAATGGTTGATGAAATTCTCTGTTTAGGTTTAACATTAAATACTGCTCGCCTTAAAATAGCTGCTAGCAATAGTACAAGATACAAAACATTTTGTTTTTGTTGTTTTTTAAATACGTGTGTCATCTATTCTTTCACCAAAATACATTAGTAGTGCAGTTTTTAAGAAAATGACAGTTCCACCTCTATGCTGTCATTGTTCATATTTTTTTTATCCATCATTGTTTTTTTTTCATCCATCCATCCATCCATCCATCCGAACATATGTATCCACCCATATATCGATTTATCCTTCCATCCATCTACAGTATTAGATAGTATTAGACATTCAGTATTTACATTCTGCCCTGACCTCTGTAGATAATTCTGCTGTAAATTCAGAGTGAATATTGGTATCTGTATTTAAAAAAGGCTGAAAAATGGATTTTTACATTTGGAATTTTAAATAAAAATCAGCGTCGTATGGAGAACAAAACACTGACAAAAGGAATATTTCCTGTAAATGAAACAAAGAAGTATATAAGTAACCTCAATGCGTTTGATTGAGCACATCCCTTCGCTAGGATCTTACTCCTCCATACCCAGCTTGAGACGGTGCCAAATGGGCCATGGTTCTGCATTGTGACAATTTCCGGCTCTTCACATGTGTATTTCCTGACTTTCTAATCAGAATGCTATTTTGTAACTCAAAAGGGGCTCCTATTCAGCCCAGCATTAACAGCCCTCGTCTGGGATAATGTGGATGCTTCGGGCCATAGGCCACCAGCTGCATGCACTTGTCACTCTTTGGTACAGATGCCCTGTCTGCCGTGTGAATGAAACTCATGGACTAAATTGGCACTTATTGTGCAGAATGATTTTATGCATGCATTTTAATGTGCATCATCCAATTCCTTAACATGTTTAATTTTGTCTTCTGACATCTACCTCAGATTTGAAAAATGATTTGAATGGAAAGCTACTGTCCCAGTTGGCATTTATGTCCCTAAGTGGACTCTAAAAACCAAATACCAAGTATGAAAACTTAAATACTCCAAAGCTGTTCATCCAAATCTGCAGTATTTTTTGTGCATCATGTTAGTTTCTTCCACAAATCAAATGACGAGAACTCAATTTTTGATGGATCAATAATTCAGCATTCTCAATTATGCTTTAATTGTGAGAAGCAATATCATCCAATCTTATTGGGAAGATAGGTGTTGTTGCTCTGCAGAGCTTTAGCTGATTGTTTATATGAGATTAGCGCTGTGTATCAGGGAAAAGATCAAGCAATGTCACAGAGCCTTGAATAGCCGGCAAGTGACGCATGCACAGACACACTCGGGCACGCGTTCAAGTACACTCCCCAATACACACGCGCACACTCCTAATGACACAAACACATAACATAAAGCCAAATGCTGCCACTAAAATTTGCATGGTGCTCAGTAATGCATTAGTGAACATCACTTGGCAATCTGTTCATACGCGCTTAATTGGATTTTAATACCGCCTCTGATCTTGTTTTCTAATTAACGGCGGTGGCTGGCAACCAAGCAGAACCATGCACCCAGCAACACCTTTGATCCCGGCCATATGGAGTTCCTCCAAGCACGCCGGGGATGTAAAAATCCCTCACCTAGACGTGGGCGAACAACAGGCCCCCCGAATCAAAATGGATAGGGCGAGGAGAATTGAGAGGGGGGTAAAGAAACGGGGGAGTGTGGCAAGGTTGAGCCGGGCGGAGGCGGGGGGGTTGGGCAATGGCATGTGTCACCCACACATCGTGGCAGCATTGGTATTGATTAATTTCTTTCACGATCAGTTGTGATCGTAGTTGCATAAAACATGAGGGGGGGTAGGGGGGCGGTAGGGGCTCAATGCCTGTACACCTTATCATCCATGCTGCCATTCGACACCCCATCATTGCTACAGGGAAATGTCAATAGCTTTCCTAATCTGTTTACTTCTACCCTTGTGGCCACTGCTTTATGCTTTAGATGAAGGGCTGCCAAAAAAATGTGTCCCATTTTTACCCTTGCTTTTCCTGTTTTGGCAGACTCTGCGAGAGTATTAACTTCATGTCAGCATATTCACCCTGCTTCTCAAATTATTCTTATCTGAATGTATATAGAGTAAAGATTCATTGCATGGATAGATTCCAGGTCAGTGTTGCACTTGTTTCTGCATGCTTGGACAGACAGAGCCTCAAGACACAGACCAAAACCATGGCGGAAATCCAACCAGAAACCCCTATCAACATCAGATATGGGAACTTTTACAAACTATGAGTTTTGCTGTAAAAAGGCCAGGTGTTTGTAGATAGGAAAAGTTTTTAAATTGGTTAACATAATCAAATTATTTAACATTTTTACAGAGATGTGTAAACTTTTGAGATCTAATGTAATTTAAGATTTAACCTTCCAACTGAGTTCACATTTCAGTCTTCCAGGCTTCTGCAAAAAAAAAAACAACAAAAAAAAAAACACAAGAACAAAAATAAAGTGAAATAAACAAGTTTTTCAAAATTAAAATTTAAAATATTTTTGCATTTATATGGAATAAACTTTCATCTGCTTTTTCCATCAGCTTGGTAACCTTGCTAGCTGCTCTTTTCTTAACAGGTAATTATATTATAAAAAACAATATGTAGCTTTGCCTTGGCCTTTTTTTCTAGAAGAGGTGGGTGTTCACATATATTTTGTTATTAGATTTTCAACAAGTCATAATCTGCTAAAAGGTTGCTAACAGTTTCAATTCTTGCAGGAATGGCACCATGTACAAGCCCTTGTTTTTGCCACCGTGCACATCCAAAACACACCCACTCCCCCGATGATCCAATTCTGCAAAAATAACCTACTAAGCAGATGTTTAACCATCCAATTTATCAGAAGCATTAAGAACAAAAAACAAATCCACATCCAGGGCAGAGTCATAATGCCCATTCCACAACTGTTGCTAATTTCTAACCATGCTGTAAATATGTTAAATATAATTTGATATCTGATTGTGCAACCTTTCTTGTTCAGCCCTGTTGAGGGGTTTTATAGCTTGCATGTCCAAACATGTCAACTATATAGCATGTACAAGGTATATCCAGTGGATGGTTTAAACAACGTTATTGCCTGGTAGGATAGGTTACTAATTCTGTACCTCTTCATAGCTGGTTTTGCATTTGACATCAGAAGAGAGTAACTATAATAAAGTAGACAATATGGCAGCCATCCAAGCATAGTGATGTTGGTTAGCTCAGCAAGCTGTCATTTTACTACTGCCTGACAGAAAGAAGCTAATTAACTATGCATAATAATTAGTAAAAAGAGAGACCGACAACAGCTGATTGACAACCAGGAGGGTGGCGTTTCTGATGGGTGTCAGAGTTTTGTGTGCTGACAGTTAACATTGTAGGTCTGAATAAAGTGCCCTGTAAGATTTCAACTAGGAATGGTGAGCCTTTAAGTGTTTATTATGGGAGCCGCTTTGATTAACAGTGTAAACTCACATTTGCTCTCATCCTGCTTTTTGCCAAATGACTTGGGCACTTTGGCATCGAGTGGCCTTCTACAACAATGGCGCAGGAGAGCGAAGGCTTTGGAGGCCTTGCCTGAGATTGCACCTAAACAATGATACCTTCTTACATGCTGCTTATTTGTCCTTCACAGACCAACTATTTGAAAAGGTGTATGTATTTTTTTCTGCTGAAGAGGATTGTGACATATTGTGCACGGATGACTGGAGATGCATTAAGACTGAAGTGGGGCTTCTAATGAAGATGTTTGACAAGGCTCGAAGGCCTTCTCTTTCTTTTAACGAAGGCTTTGTTTTGATGAAAGCAGAATTCCTTGCCCTCCGTGAATTATTAACTTGTCCTTCGACCTTAGTATATCACAGTTTCTCATCTCCCTTATCAAAGGCACTTTTAAACACACTGAGCACTGCATTTGCTTAAGTGCCATTTTTGATTTGAGAGGCCTTTCTTTTCAGACTTAATGGAAAGCGAATGGCTTAAACAGGAAAGGAAAGTGGTCTTAGCTGATTTTTGAAACAATAACATGCTAATGTCTAGCTGACGCCCAATTGGGATTGGATGGCTGCCATCTCGACATGAAAAACTCAGGAGAAAAACCAGTTGAAAGCGCAAAGTACAATTAGTATTATTGAATCACATAGATTAAGGGAACATTTTGAAGAACTGTTGTGGCTAACTGTGTAAAATTATTGGTTTCTCATTAGTTAAGACATAAGAAATGTTATGTTTAAACACAAGACCTATGCTGGCTTTTAATCCATACACTCTATAGGTACTGGGTTCTTCTACACATCCGCTCTTCAGCTACACAAAAGCTGCTCCACCGTTCTGCTTCACATGGCACGCAGGTAATTTAAAGCCAATTCTACAACACGCTGCAAATAATACTTTTAAAGAGAATCAGCAGTGGTAACAAAGTTTAATAAGCTGTTGTGTATGAGACGAGAGATTGATGATGTTTTAAGACTATAGTGAGCTGCAGCATCATGGATTGGTCAGGATTGGTTTGTAACATTATAACAGTTTTCATTCTGGTTAGTAATGACAAATATATTAAGATTAAACTGAGGCCCTTGTGTTATGTTCATATAACCTTTCTAAGCAGTTTGTTGTGTCTGTTTTCGTTTGGGTGAGGTAGTTTTTTTGTCAGCTGGAATGTTGATAACTTGTTTCTGGTTTATGCAACTTACATGTTCAGTTGTCCATAGGGCAACTCAGTGGACCATATGTTGCTCCAATCTACTGTTTGTTGGTTTAATGATGAGCAAGACTAGACAAGTGCTATAAAAAATGCTCTAGAAACTGTGTTGATATCCACACAACATTATTTTTTGTATATACAAAGTACTCCAACAGTAAGTGGAAAGCAACTATAAGGTTACAGGCTTGATTATTCAAAGTAAAT